TTTCGTTTTTGTAATAAAAAATTTTTTAAGCTCGAACGCGCATTCCTTTCCGGACAACCTATTACTAATTGACTTTCACCTCCCTTCTTTTATGCGAATATTCCGGTTCCCTTGCCACTGAAATGGGCGTATTCTTGGATAATTCCGCCTTTGTCAACTTACGAATCAGAACCGAAACAGCCTTCTTTTAAACGTCGTACGTTTACCTTTGAAGGTACTGATTCTTGCCATATGCTAAGTGGACAAGTACGCAGTGTAGTACAGAGCCACTTTCGTCACTCGAAAATGCACGGAAGTGAAGCTGGAGAGCTGTGATGACCAGATGTTCTTCCAGACTCCATCCATAGGCAAGCACGCAGACGCGACGTGTCGCACGACCAGACATACGCCTATCTATAGCCAAACGCGCTGCTTCTCTGTGCCCTCTCACGTTCGCTTGTTCTTTACACTGGTCTGCGGGACAGCTTGCCGTGCCTAAAGGCCACTGCGAGTCCCCAACATCGACGCACGTGCCGCACGTTCTGAATAGCTGTTGAAAGCCCAAACGGCATCGGCTTCTCTCTAAGCTCCAGTCTTATTTTTGTGGTCTTTCGAATGGCGAAAGTGGTATTCTTCCTTACCATTAGCTGCGAGCCTGTTCACCTCCCACATGGCGCGACTACACCTCGTAGGTATGCGTACAACTTGTCTTAAATCGAGGATCTTAGCGCCTTCAGAAGTGGGGAACTGGGTTGCCATCAGTGGCACAGACATTCCATGACTGATTTACAGCCTCCCTGTGGTATTTTTAAATTCAAATATCACGACCCATAAGTTCTCCTGTAGGAGTAATTAAATCGATAAGTTTTTGCTAGACTACTTAAAATTATTCTAGGTATGATTCTCGCCTCATGAGTAACCGTAATTCATGTTTGATTTCAAATTCTTCTTTTTCTGACACCTAGTAAGGGATCACCTGGTGGAAGTGTAGACAAGCAAGCCTAGGTTCTGCATCTATAGTAGTGACATTTTTTGCTCATTTCTTGTCATTTCAGATGCCCTCGTTAACTTCATGTTATAAGTTGGAGGATGCGAAGAATTTTGAAGTGAAATTCAGTTGGCTGATGTTAGGAATGGAAACGAAATGGGAGCCAGTCATCCCAAAAGCACTCGCATTCGTACTTACAGTTGGCAGATTAAAGTACTGCAAACCGATTTACAGGTATCTTTCGCTCTATTTAATTTCGTAGCTTTGGGAAAACAACCCGGGTATGGAGCGTTACTTTCGAGTCGCGGCGAAACAGGCGTTGCAAGCAGGGTAGGCATCGCGGCGTGATCATTTCCTGGAGAATTCGACGCCCCCTAATTCCATCCTCAATACCACTTTTTCCATTTTTCCAAAAAATTTCCAGTTTTTCAACCAAGAATTTTCCGTCGAGCGGGGGGAGGGAAGAGGTCGTCAGGAACTATCATTTTCAACTATCGGAAATAGTAGTTGTATAGATCTTTGGCAGTCCTCTCTCAACAACGGCCAAATACGACCCCCTCCCTCGCGGTCAAATACGACCCCCCTCCCTGGCGGTGAAATACGACCCCTCCCCGTTGTGATCATCACAACGATGGCATGCCCTGGTGCAACATGTGCAGCATCCGCGCCAGGACCCAACCTATTCAACATGGCAGCGGCTCTCCTCGACTCTATTTCCCGAGTTTTGTACTGCGATGCCTAATCTCCTAAACTCTCCCGAAAATCCAGCGGATTGTGCCAATCGACACCCGTCTATGGCTGCGTTTCCGTCTATAGCACTGAAGCGCTGTTGCAATGGTAGCGCGTCATCGCGAAATGTGAACGCAGCTCAGTAAAGCTGCATTCACGTTGGGAGCAATCTCATATGGGTTCCAATTTGCTGTTACTCTAGATCTACGAAAATCGGAAACCGGAATCTCTAAAGAACCAGTTTTCTTCAGGTCGTTGTTCAATTGGCCAGCTGCACGGGCGTCAGCAATTCAGCAGTTCGAAAGCAACCGCAAAAACATGCATCCAATAACGGCAAGCGTTATAGCGAAACTCATGAATTGACTTTTCTAGGTTTTTTTTTTTTTTTAGGCATAATTGTTACATGATTTGGGTTAATTCAGGCATAATCGGGGTTCATAATCATTTCCCATAATTATTCTATTATCCATAATAAAAGTGCCACTTATTAGGCACGTAATTAATTAAGTAAAAGCATAATACATACATATAATATCATTTCTCTGTTCGTTGGATTGTATAGTTGTGTGAGATAATAAAGTGGTCTGGTTCTGGCGTCTTTTTGGGGCATTTGTATTGACAAATGTCATTGTCTTCCATGTTTCAGTCAATGATAAGCACTTTGATCCCTTTTTCTGAACCTTCGCCAACTGATAACGAGGCGTTGACGCTGCCTAAAGAGCACAGGCGTAGTCTTCAGACGTCAGTGATCGCTGTTAGTGGCCTCTACGGATGCGGACTTTTCTGACGGTCTATGGCGGCCGATGTGAGCGCTCGAAGCTTCGGTTTCAGGGCACGTCCTGCCATGGGAAACTTTTTGCAGATTGCGACCCTCATCCGAAATCCCGTCTGATACGCCCCTTCCCCATTCTTCCTATCATCCCCCTTGATTTTCTCGGCACTTCCTCTCTCTGATTCCTTCCTAATTTTTTTCCGCAATTTTTCTCTCGAAAATTCTAAATGTTTTCCTCGGGGAAACTGCCGTCGAGTGGGGATGGAGGTATAGCCATAGGCGGCAGGATGTTCCTTTGCCGGCATAACACGAGCAGGTCCGAAAAACTCGTGCAGAGAGGTTGCCAGTTTCTTACTTGAGGTGTTCTCCATGATTTCATTTGCTTTTTTCCCTGGAGAGCCATTTGGCGTCAACGGGGTTGTAAGTGAAGGCCACTCTCCACAATATGCAATCGCGGAGTTTGTTTTCAAATTTCCCTTAGCCCTTCATAGATTCTGTGGAAAATGCGATAGGGTCAATTCATAGCAACACAGCTCTAACTGTAAGAAATTACTTCATATTTACCGAGGTCCGAAATGAAAGCATTACGATCTGCGTTGGATCGAATGCTTCCTAGGTGCTCTTCCCCTTGGACGGGGCATTTGCACTTCTGTTAGCTCCTTTTCCCAATTCACATAGTGAGGTCTGTAAGCTACTGTGAACCGGTGGAATGGTGTAAGCGAGCCACTTTGGTCGTCCTCACTAGGTAGCCTGGAATCTTCGCTGAACATCATTCGGTGCCCCCACCACCCCCACCAAGCCGAACTGCGCCGCTTTTTTTTCCTCATAATTCTCTTGCTCTTTTTTGCTTTGAAATCTATTCGTGTTTATCCTTATTATGAATTTAATTTGCGCTATATTTCGCTTAGAAGAATGTGTAACTGCCATATGCGACCACGACGTGACCCGTGCTCGGCAGCAAATAATCACGACATTGTCGTCACTCACACAGCCATCAAATGGGATGTCACTTTTCAACTTCGAATGCTCATCGGTCAGGCAGCACTTGAGTGCATGATGATCCGCAAAACGGACAAACTGGTGAGTTGCACATCATCATGGCTGATTACCTGCGAATTTATTACCTCATCTGGCTATCTTTAGCCCGTATACTTTTGGTCTCCATTAGTTTAGGCCTCCTTTATGAAGTTTCGGGATTGCAGTTGGAGACTACGACCGGTTAGCCCACCTGCACACCCGCTATCTTCTTTTCACCCTTATGAGAAGGCTGTCAGTTGAGAGATCCACGTGGTAGCGACACACACTATTATTTCCTAGGTGGCTGGCACACTCTAGCACTTCGTTGAATTGGTTAGGCCTGGTGCGAATGCCGCGCACGTGAGGCCGTCCGCAACACTGTTCTCGCCGCGTCGCCTCAACATGGATCTCCTGGTGAGAACCCTCCCATGGAAATGTTGTGGAAAGTCACTTGATTCCATTGACCCGTCGCGACACCACAGAGCGATATCAAAAGTCAGAATGAACTTGCCCGTGGGGCTTTTTTAT